GGGTGTGCAAGAGGCAGCCGACCGATGACTCTCTCATTGATGTTTCTAGCTCTCTGTCTCTCTCCCTTCCTCTCTGTATAAAATCAATAAAATATATATTTTTTTAAAAAAACAAAAAACAGCCGAGACTGGTTTGGCTCAGTGGATAGAGCGTCGGCTTGGGGACTGAAGGGTCCCGGGTTCGATTCCGGTCAAGGGCATGTACCTTGGTTGCGGGCATATCCCCAGTAGGGGGTGTGCAAGAGGCAGCTGATCGATGACTCTCTCTCATCGATGTTTCTAACTCTCTATCTCTCTCCCTTCCTCTCTGTACAAAATCAATAAAATATATTTTAAAAAAAAACAAAAAAAACACAAAAAACAAAAAACAACTTTTCTTTAGATTGTTTCAGAGAATGGAGAGGGGGAGAAAGAGACATCAATGATGAGAGAATCATCGTTCAGCTGCCTCCTGCACACCCCTGACTGGGGATCCTGGAATGTGGGCTTGTGTCCTGAGCAGGAACAAATTGTGACCTCCCGGTTCATAAATCAATGCTCAAACACTAAGCCACAATGGCTGAGCCAAATTTGGGATTTTTAAAAAAACTATTTCTTCTAATAACCTTTCTTTTTCACATTTTCTCCTCAACTTCTGGGACACTGTTGACATGAATGTTAGACCTTTTAGTATTGTTTCACAGGTTCCTGAGGCTCTGGGGTTTTGTTTAAACACATTTTTTTTTTGGTCTATTGTTTTAGAGTACATAATTTATAATGATCTACCTTCTAACTCACTTGTTCCTCTGTATACTCTTTTTTGCTAATAAACCTATCCAGTGACTATTTTATTTTGGTTATTTTTAAGTTCAAAATGTCAATCGATTCTTCTTTGTATCTTCTACTTCTTGGCTGAAACTTCCTATCTTTCCATCTGTTTTAAGAAATTCTCCCTTTCTTCTTCCAATGTGGTCATATTAACTGCTGTGAAGTCTTTGCTTTCACCTCTGCCATCTTGGGTTGGTTGTCTTTTCCCTGGAGATTTCTTTGTATGCTGAGTAATTTTATATTGTATTCTGGATATTTTGAATATTGACTCTGGATCTTGTTAAAATCCTAAGGAGAAAGTTGTTTTTACAGGCACTTGATTAGGTTGGGTTCAGGCAGCAACTTTCCTTCTTTGCATTGTGGTTCCATATCAGTTTAATTTTGTAGTGGTATTTGGATCAGCCCTCCATGTGTTCCATCCAGTGGCCAGATTGACTTGGACATTGGTCCATCCTGTTGCTCAGTTCACAAAGCTTTGGCAAGCTATTTAGGGTCAGATCCATGCTTGTGCAACTCAGAGGTGAGCATAGGAGTTAACACATAATTCTGTGGGACTGTTCTCTTGATCTTCCTCCTATGACTTTTCTGACACTTTCTGGTTCTCTGGGGGCTTTCCGCCCCAATCCTCTGACCAAAAGTTGGGATTTTATTTTCTCTAGTCTGCTAGGCATTTCCCACTGCTGGGCTAAGACTCAAGAGAACAGAGAAAGAAAAAAGCAGAGGGGATCTGACTCACACTTGTGGGACCATAATTCTTCTGGTCAGAGAGATGGATTCTCCTCTCAGAATTTTAAGTGCCTGCTGAGCCACTCTTGCTGTCATTGTTGCAGCTATCACCACTATGGTGTGCTTGGGGCTGGAGGTAGAAGGGAAAAAGAAAATGGGGTTTCCCCAATCTAACTCTTAGGAGTCCCTTTCTGCTCCTCAGACCTGCAACAGAGGGCTCCACAGAGCTCTTTCAGTTCACATCTGATGTCCATTTCAGGTTCTGGCTGTCTTTGAGTCCATTTTAGATGAAACTGGAGGAGGAAAAATGGTGAACTCACCATTTTTTAGAGGAACTTTGGTTTTTCTTCCTGCTATTTACTTCTCTGAGATTTCAGCTGCTCCATGCATTTAGGAGCATGGGAGACAGGGTGCCGTGTGCCTTCTCCACTTGTAATTTGTGTGACCCTGGGCAAATTACATAACATCTTCATACCTCTGTCATCTTGAGCAGTGGGTCATCATACCATCTCAGAAGGTCCTTGTGTAAATTAAGTGTTTAAATACATAAAGCACTTAGGATATTGCTTGATTATAGTAAACACTTATAAATACTAGCTTATATTATTAGCAATTATCATAGAAAGATAATTATTTCATCTTACTGATGTGGTCTCCTGCTCCGATGGAGGCTACCTGGATGGCCTCTGACCCCAAGTCGGCAGGAAATGAGGTCCTCAGTCCACCTCTGAAGCAGTGAATCCTGCTGACAATCTCTGCGCATGCTTGGAACCAAGTCCCTCCCATTGGAACCTTGAAATAATATGGCCTTATTGAATACTATTTGCAGCCTCGTGAGAGACCCTAAAGCAGAAAATTCAGCTCAGCTGTGCCAAATACCAAAACGTAGAAACAAGTTAATAAATATGTGGTTTGAGGCCACCAAGTTTTGGAATAATTTATACACAGTAATATATAACTAATACACCCCCTGGGTTTGTCTCTCTAAACTCCTTTCTTTCCACTCATTTTGGAAGATGCACCTAAGTGGAGAATTTTTTCTTTAACAGGATTTCACAAAACACTGACTGTAGACATTCCGTTTTTCTTGTGCATAAAGATAGGCATCAGCCATTTTTAGCTTCAGAGACTGGTTTAATCCGTTAGGTGTCATCTGTTTCATGTGCATGAACTCTGAATTGTCATGAAAGCAAGTTATCTTCCTCCTCTTACCATAGTGGTCCAGCCTCAAGATCATTTAAGATTGCTGTAGTTAGGGATGAGCGTGAGAGTGTGCACGTGGTGATAAGATTCTTGGTTGGAAATACTTTCCTACTGTCCTGGGCTTAGTTATACATGGAATCCCTAAATCCTGAACCAAATTTCATGCTCAAAAACTGAACCCACAAATACTCTACTCCCTCTTCTCCATGCCTTCCTTGGTAGCCAAAAGCCCATCTTTGCAAGTCAAAGACAAATTGCAGTTGCATGTCCTTGGGGCTGTGAGGAGTCCCCCTTCTTTGGATATTTAGGCAGGCAGTCCCGGCCAAGCACACACTACTTTCTAGAGCCATCCATTAAAGGATGGAGCTAGAGAGGTCAGGAAGTTATAGAGCCATTAGCTGCAACCAGCTTGCAGGAAAATGTTTAAGTTCAAGAGAAAAACGGGCATGGGCCAAGGGAGACAGGTTTAAAGCACTAGGAATGAGCAACTTCTAGACATTAGAAGGTGTGGGAGGAAGAAAGGGTTTATTTCAAAGGTAGAGACTGAGAATCAAGACGCAATAGACTTAATATGCTTACCTAGCGAAAAGCTAAAATGAGAAGCCAGAAGAGTCAACTCCTGAAGTAGGGCTCTCTGGACCGATCCCATTAAGTCTCCATAGCTTACCCAGCCCACTTAAAAAAAAAAAAAAAAAAAAAAAAAAAAAAAAAACCCAAAAACAACAACAACAACTACTCAGAATTCCGCCCCACTTTCTGTTTTGTGACTGATACTTTTAGGACCAATAGAATGGTTTGTCCTAAATCTCCATCTAGAGAACGGCATAAGATCTGGGACTCTCAGGAGGCAACTGCTTCACATGCAAGTGTGTGTGTGTGTGTGTGTGTGTGTGTGTGTGTGTGTGTGTGTGTAGTGGTTTGAGGGGAGCAGGGGGGGGGGGAGAACCAGCCATTACACTAGAGCTTCCCAATTCCAGGGGGTACACAGCAGTACACTAGGCCAAGACCAGTCATCTCAATAAATGCTAGGGAAGCTCTCTGCCTTGGAGGGAGGACAAGAGCCTGACTGCTGCTTCTCACTGCAGCTCTGAGCTCTGTGGTTCTGATGTAAAAGCTCAAGCGTACTGTCAATCTCCCCTTATAATTACTTAAGGTGGAAGGCAACATGCTGAACCCCAGCTCCTTGAGGACTGGAACAGTGATCATTACTTTTCACCTCCAGTGCCCGTGACACGCTGGTGCTCACGAAGTATGCACTGCTTCGGAACGAATGCTGAGATACTGAGCAATCTGTCCAACGTCGTGTAGGCCAAGACTCAGCACAAAGTATCTGGTTCTCTTCATTTTCCAGCACCATGGCGTAGAGGGGACTGGGAACGAACATTCTTCCCATCCACAAATAACAAAGACAGAAGATACCCAGTCCAGGGCATGCTTACAGATAGATTTCTCATAGATTTATTTCTGTGTTATGTTATATATAGATAGATATATGTATATATACTTTTCTTTTTTAATACAATCTATATCCCCTTTCCTTCTCCATAGAACTCACAAAAAAGGAAGTATAAATTCTTCCAGGTTGGCCATCAGGCTTTCTAAGATAGCCAGGGCCAAGAAAGAACTCTCTCTCAACGTCTTGAGAAACAGCTGCCCTTCTTAGGCTCTGGGGTCACTGAAGCAGCAGCATTCCCAGGACCCAAGGGGAGGTGCAAAGAAACCACAGAATTCTAGGATGGAAGTGTCCAGTGACTCCCAGAATGGCAGACTGGCTCCCTCATCTCTCGCGGTGGGAACAGAGATGGGAGCCCCATGGCTCTGAGGATGCTGCCCAAATAGGCTGGGGTGGGGAGTAGGGCTCAGGGATTAGTCATGCAGGGGTGGGGTGGTAGGACAAGGATCACATGTGGGTTTACTAGAGACCAGCAGCCCCACCTACTCAACGACATATAATAAACAAGGGCAGTGCTGTCCCTTAAAAACAGGAGAGAGGGCATGGTAGGGAAGGGGAGGGGGACAATGGGACACATAAGGAAGTCACATAAAACAAAAAGTACCAACAAAACATGACTCATACTTGCCTCCTCCCTAGAGAAGGTATGATCTATGCTTGGGGTAAGGGAAAGGAGAAGAGAGATGAGAGGTCATGAACCTAGAATTATCAGCTGGCCAGGGGCACAGGAAGGCTCTTTGAAGACTCCTAAGGGGTGGGCAGGCAGGCAGCTGGGACCCTGTATCCCCAGGGGAAAAATGCGACAGTCCCTTCAGTTCGACTTGGACCAAATCTTGGCGCTCCCTCGGAGCCTGGCAAGGAGAAGAAAGAGAGAGAAGCTGCAAGGAATCCCCTAATCCCTTAAGGTTCCCCCCATTCCCTACCCCCTGCAAACGACTAAAGGCAGTGATGGCAGCCAGGTCTCTGAAGAAAAAGCGAGGCACCCCGGAAGGGAGCAATTCCTGCCACACCAGCTCACCCCTTGCCCTTTGAGGCTTTCTTGCTGGGCTGGCGCTGGTTGGTGCCAGCAGCTGGTTCTCTCAGTTCAGTCAGGTGTTGCTCGGGGTCCTGAGATGTGGCTGCGGCGGCTGCTGCTGTTGTAACTTTAATGGTTTTCTTAAGGTTGGCGACCTACCAGGAGGAAAGGAGTGGGGGATAACAAGGAAGGTTCCAGAACCTGACAGTCCTGCCCACCTTGTTTGTCTGCTACGGCCACTGCCCAAACCCCTCTGCATTGACAGCTGGCCCCGGCTGAAGGAGCTGGGGTCTGTCTCACTCCCCTGCCGGCTCACCTCACTCTCAATCTGCTGCTTCAGGCCCAGCTGCTGCTCCTTGTGCTGGTTGGCACGGCTCACCTGCTCCTCAATGCCTGACAGCACTACCTCGCAGCCCACACACCTGCGGTAATCGGGAGACGTGTCAGCAGAAGAGAGCTGTGATCACAAACTCACTAAAATTAGAGGCAGAAAGAACCCTAGGTCCTGATATGCAAACCCCTGCCTGAGTTAGGAACTCTCACCAGGGCCTCTGGAAACGACCTGCAACTATATTCCCAGGAGCCGGAAGGACACTCAGGGAGGATAAGAGAGGTACAGGGAAGTGAATGGAGTGATGTGCAAGTGGGAGTAGGAACTCAAGACCAAAATGGGAAAGGGGCTGCTAAAGAGAAGAAAAAAAGGCGTACTAATAATTAACTGAAGATAGACAAGGACACAAAGAGAAAGCAGAAGTGGAAGAGGCCCAGGCCTGTGGACAGTGCTGGTTACAGATGAATGAGTTGAACCCAGACTAAGGTAACCAACCTCCCAGTGAGGATCCCCTCGAGTACAACTCATCTTTCCCTCCCCCAGTTATGACACTAAGGACACCAGCTCCTGTCTTGCCTCAGAGGAACGAGCTAATTTCCCTTCATCCTCTTGAATTCCACCTCTGCACCTCAGCCCTCACCCTCCAAAGCACCTTTCCCTTGCCAGGAGACAGGTCTCACCACTCCTGTAGGGTTCGGGCAATGGCACTGAGGTCCTGGCGCTGGATGTCCCGCCCAATGCTGTAGTCAACCTCCAGCCGCTGATTGCGCTGGTCCAGGGAGCCTCGGAGCACGTCAGCGTACACGGCCTCTATGACAAGGTCTTCCAGCTGCCGCACGTTACGCAGGGCCAGGGCCTCCAGCAGCACTGCATATGGGATACACTGGAGCCGGGGAGGTCGGGCTGGGGTTTGTGAGGTTCTGCCATAGAGAAGGACTTCCAAGATTCTTCACTCCTTTCCCCCGCCTAGGCTCACTGCCTACCCTCCACTCCTATTCCCAAACCATTTCTTCTAAAAGGCTGGTTCTAGCCCTAACTGGTTTGGCTCAATGGATAGAGCGTCAGCCTGCAGACTGAAAGGTCCCAGGTTCGATTCCAGTCAAGGGCATATAACTTGGTTGTGGGCACATCCCTAGTAGGAGGTGTGCAGGAGGCAGCTGAATCAGTGTCTCTCTCATCAATGTTTCTAACTCTCTATCCCTCTCCCTTCCTCTCTGTAAAAAAATCAATTATATATATATATATATATATATATATATATATATATATATATATATATATTTTTTTTTTTTTTTTTTAAAGTAAACTCACTAGAATGATGGGAGAGTGCAAATGGACAGGAGGGGGACAGTTAACAAAAACACAAGCCAACAGGAAATACAGAAACATTTCTTGCTATATATTACTTATTCTAGCAATAGAAGCCTAGCGCTTCACCAGGAGACAGCCTTGTTCCCAGCTCTGAGCGTGCAGGCAGTCCGCATGGGCCGTTCTATAGAGGGAAGGAGGGTGACCCTTGTAAAATAGTGAGTGGCATCCCAGTTGCTATTTTGACCCCACATACACAAAAGATGTTTTAGTTGGAACTTAAGTTGATTGAAAAATAAAAACAAAACAGATAACTAAGAGAAAAATACTCAGCCTAACAAGGGTGCAGATGACGGGTTTAGATACAGATCTGGGAAGAATGCGGAGGGGAAGGCAGGAAGAAGCAACAGTGTATCAAAGGCTGTCCCAGAACAAAGTCCCTCCAGATGGCCCTTGCGAAGGGACGTACAAAAGGATGCTCTGTGGCTCACGGCTGGAGGAATGACTGCCACTCACCTTGACTTTGGCAGCTAGGGTGACGACCGACAGGTGTCGAAGCTTATTCTTCTGAGCCTCTGTGAGTGGGGGGAGATTCCGGGCTTCAGCTGGGAAAAAAGGACAGAGAAGGAAATCCTGATTTCCTTTTTGTGGGAAGGCCTAGCCTCTGTCCCTTGCATCCCCCCCCCCCCCCCAAATTTTCCATGCCGATTCAGGTCTTGACCCTGACCCTGTGTACCTAAGGGATCTAAGTAGGATATCTCGGGAATGTCTCTTAAGTCCCTCCAGAAATTGCCCTTCTCCCACCCCCTCTACTCCCTAGCTCCAGCCCCTCTGGTTACCTAAATAGTCAGCATATGTCCCATAAGCAAACACGGTGAGCAGGCGGAATGTGGAAGCGAAGTCACTCTCAGCCAGCTGCAAGAATAGGAGGGAAGAGATGACAGGAAGGGCCTCTATTCACCCTTCTCCCAGCCCCACCCTGCTTTGAATCCCACATTCTGGTCCCATCATTCCTTTCCATTAGCTCTCACGGCCCACTGAAAGGAATCTGCCTCTCTGATCACTCTTCCCACAGAAAGGCGTCATTTCCACTGCCTTTGTTTATACTACTCCCCCCCCTCCTGCCCCACGCCCCCATCACAATGCCCTCTGCCTTTATAGCCTCCAATTCCTACCCTAAATTCAGAGTTGAGAAATTCAGTATTCAATATTTCACACACACACACACACACACACACACACACACACACACACACCAGACATTGCAAATGGTGTTTTATTTGTAAATTTAGTGTGGATGTTTGTAAATCTGATTCTCTTTAGGCAGTCTGCTATACTCTCCAATTCACCGGACTCCTGTCTCAGCCTCATTCATCTCTGACAGCTCATGGCCGAGGCAGCCATTGGAATCTGTGGCCTCTGCTGCAGACCTGCTTCACCAGGCTTTCATCACCCAGGCCAGCCCACCCAGATCTCTCTTCCTATCACTGGTCACTCCGTCTGACACTTAATCAAAACCTGCCTAAGGGTGCTGCCTAAGAATATCTTCCTCTTCAACAAGATGACAGGCCCAGTCTTTGGTATCCCTCTTAGGTCAAGCAGAGTTAAGCATCAGTAGTTGTCTCTCAATAAATAACTTGCTAAATAAATGATCTGTATATGTATATCCATTCATCTGATCTCTTAACTGAAATGTAAGCTTCAGAAGTACTGTTGTCTTTGGTTTGGCTCAGTGGATAGACTGTCGGCCTGCAGACTGAAAGGTCCCAGGTTCGATTCTGGTCAAGGGCATGTACATTGGTTGCGGGCACATCCCCAGTAGGAGGTGTGCAAGAGGCAGCTAGCTGATTGATGTTTCTCTCTCATCGATGTTTCTCTATTCCTTTCCCTTCCTCTCTGTAAAAAAACAAATATATATATATAAAGTACTGTTATCTTTTACTTTCCTGGCATTCCCAGACAACCAGCAGAGTGCTAAACAGGCATCCAATAAGTACTTTTCTTCGCCTTGATTGACTCTGCTTAGTTCCTTTGCAGAGGAAAGCCGGGAAAGAAGGCCGCCGGTTTTTTCTGTACCACAGAGTAATCCCAAAAGGCTAAATCCACTGTCTCAATCACTGGCCACTGACAACTTAATTCACTGTTTGCCCACCTACCACTGTCATAGCAGCTCAGGACTCAGGCTGTTTTCATACATCTTGGCACACACTGTGGATTGTAAACTCTTAACTCTACCACTTCTGTGTGAACAGTTCTCTCTACTGTGTTTCTAGCACCTTGCCACATGTCTCTGGAGAAAAGATACTTTCTATATGATCTAACATAAGTGAATTTGCATATGGTGCAAAGAGCGGGGAGAACAGGGTATGCCAATTTCACATTCATTCCTTCCATTTTTAATGACTTCACACTTTCCAATAATCTCACCTGATTTCTACAGCAATGGTGAAGAGCAGTATCTGCCCCATTTTTTTTATTTATTTCTTTTTTCTACTTGTTGTTCCATTTATTTATGCATTCATTGGTTGAGTCTTGTATTTGCCATGACCAGGGATCAAACCCAGAACCATGGCATAGTGGGACAAGTTCTAACCAACTAAGCTACCCGGCCAGGGCACAGCTCCATTTTTAAAAGAGAACACGGAGACCCTAAAATAAAGGTGACCTCATCAAGGTGACATGATTATCAAGAGCTATTACACTGGTGGAGACAAGCTGGAGTTTGGTCTCTTATTCTGAAGCACATGTTCTTTTGCTTAAAAATAAAAAATATGCCCTAGAGCCGAAACTGGCTTGGCTCAGTGGATAGAGTGTTGGCCTGCGGACTGAAAGGTCCCGGATTCGATTCCGGTCAAGGGCATATACCTTGGTTTTGGGCACATCCCCAGTAGGGGGTGTGCAAGAGGCAGCTGGTCGATATCTCTCTCTCATCGATGTTTCTAACTCTCTCTCTTCCTCTCTGTAAAAATAAATAAAAAATATATTTTTTAAAAATTAAGAAGAAAAAAATATGCCCTTGCCAGTTTGATTCAGTGGATAGAGCGTTGGTTTGTGGACTGAGGGGTCCCAGGTTCAATTCCAGTCAAGTGCACATGCCCAGGTTGCTGGCGGCATGTAGGAGGCAGTCCATTAATAACTCTCTCTCATCATTGATGTTTCTATCTCTCTTCCTTCCTCTCTCTCTCTATAATATATATATATATATATTATAGAGAGAGAGAGGAAATACTGGGTTTCACAGATCATTGATCCTCAAAGGGAAACTAAGAGTTTACTTGTGCACATACTCCTGCAAGATGCCAGTTAATCATCATCCTACTATTGTTCAACTGAATGGTTACGGGGTTGCAAAGTGAGTCCTGCCTGCGCACCCATCTAATTCAAACGTTAGCCCCAAGCTTCCCTGTGGGCTATCCAGGCCAGGAACCCACCTCTCTAACATTAGGCATATCCAGCAGTTCCCCAAACACGTAGACACCAGGAGCCTCCAGCACCTGGTGGATGAGTGTGGCCAGCGCCGCCCCCTTGGCAGACTTGGCCAGGAGCAGAAACTGCTCCTGGTTCTGCCCTGTCACCTTCACCTCGGCACTCATGGCTGCACTGAGCTGGGGGGACGTGGGCTCAGGATGTCCGGAGCTGCAAGGAAAGAGGATGTGAAGCTGTAGGTCCCTGAACACTGGGAGAAGGATAAGCAGCACAAGGGCCAGGGCTGACTGCGGAGGCACCGAATCCCTTCTGCCTTGAGGAATCAGAGGTGGAGCCGTCTAACACTTGGATCTAGGAATCGTCAAATTCGACACACCTCGAAGGATGTCTGTCTGAGACAGGGTTGCCACGCCCAGTCTTCCCGCCCCACACCCCTTGGCCTCATCCCTAAGCCCTACCACGAACACCCCATTGAACCCCAAGGCACAGGATGCAGTGGGGGAAGGGGTGTCACATGGTGTCTACCCCAACGACTACGCGCCTTCTAATCTCCACGGGTGCCCCGCCAGTGCCCCCCGCCACGTGACCTCACCCTCAGGATCCTTCCACGTGGCTCCGCCCCCTCCCTTAAAGAGGCCGCGCCGAGCCAGTGGGCTCCCGCGGATCGCCGCGTCGTACCCTCGGCGAGATTCTGCGGGCCGCTACCTGGAGCTTCGCCTTCCAGATCTCCGGGCGGGGCCGCCGCTCCGTCACCTCCGGCAGCTGTTCTAAGCCTTTCCTGCCACCTCCCTTCGGGGTCGCTCTGGCGGCTACACTCTATGGCTGACTTCCGGCCGCACTTCCGCTCTTACCGGGCGAGCTCGGGGCGGGACGTGTTCCTTTCCCGTCTTCCGACTGCTGAGGCGCCTGGGAGCGACAGAAGCACTCTCCTTTCTGATTGGTTGGTGAGGAAAGACTGACGGGCACTTTTTTTCTCCTGCTTTGTTTCAATAAAACTTTATTGTTGGCCGTGGCTAGCCGCTAAATGCAGAGGGAGCTTGTGGCCTCAGGCAGGTATGGAGGGATTGTGTTTAGCCAGTCTTGGTCAGGTCTGGCGCGGCGATTCAGTGTCCTCTCATACGCCAGAAGCTTTTGGGTTTTGAGAACTGGTAGGGACACCTACGGGAGGCAACCAACAAATGCACAAATAAGTGGAACACCCCCGGCCGGCGGTGGTCAGTGGTTAGAAATAGGTCTGCAAACCAAACAGTCGCTGGTTTGATTCCCTGGTTCAAGGACAAGTACCTGAGTTACAGGTTGGATCCCCTCCCCCTCTGTGCAAACGGCAACCAATCCTGTGTCTCTCTCACATCAGATGTTTGTTCCCGGCTCCCCCTCTCCCCCAATCCACTTCCTCTCTTACATTCTGTTTAAAAACCAACGGAAATCCCTAGCTGGTTTGGCTCAGTGGATAGAGCATCCGTTTTTGGACTGAGGGGTCCTGGGTTCGATTCCAGCCAGAGGCACATCACTGGGTTTTGGGCACAGTCCCCGCTGGGGGTGGCGGGGAATTCATGAGGCAGCCAATCAGTGATTTTCTCTCATATCTCTCCCTCTCCCTTCCTCTCTGAAATCAATAAAAATATATATTAAAAAATAGAAAAAATATACCTCCGGTAAGGATTAAAAAAAAAAAAGTGGAACAAATTGATATGTTTCTCTTCCTCTCTCTCTTAAATCAATTTTTAAAAATGTTTAAATGTCATGATGGATGCATGAACAGAAGCAACAAGTTCAATGAAGAGGCTGCTGCAGTCTGGCCAGCGTGGCTCAGTGGTTGAGCTTTAACCTATGAACTGGGAGGTCATGGCTGGATTCCTAGTCAGAGCACATGCCCTGGTTGCAGGATTGATCCCCCAGTGTAAGGCAGTCAATTGATTTCTCTCTCTCATCATTGATGTTTCTCTCTCTCCCTCTCCCTTTCTTTCTGAAATCAATTTTTTAAAAAATACACGCACACATATATATATACATATACATACACACACACACACACACACACACACACACACACATATATATATATATATATATATATATATATATATATAGAGAGAGAGAGAGAGAGAGAGAGAGAGAGAGAGAGAGAGAGAAAGGGAAAGAGAAAGAGGCTACCACAATTTTCCAGGCGAAAGATGGTGGTGCATAATGGCTGTGGAGGTAAGAAATAGTTTTGGGTTCTGAATTTAATTTAAAGCTAGAGTGAACAGAATTTGCAAATAGTTTAGATGTGAGGTGTGAGATGAAGAGAAAACATTAAGAATGGCATCATACAGGCAAGTTGCACCAAATTTTCAAAGTGCACATTATTTTAATCCTGTATGAACTTTTCCAGAAAATAGGAAAAGAAAGGACACCCCTCAACTATTCTTTGGGGCCAGAATTACTTTGATAACTCAACAAGAAAAGGGCAATACTAGATAAATAAATTAATGGTCAATCTCACTTAACAAAGATACAAAAATCTTCAATAAAACACTCGCAAACTGAATCAATGCAAAAAAAAATTAAAAATCCAAGATTAACTTGAATTTATGTCAGGAATTTAAAGGGAGCTTGATATTAGAAAATATAGTACATTCACTTTATTAATCATATTAATAAAAAATAAATTACTCATTTCAATAAATACAGGGAAAGCTCATGACAAAATAAACATCCATTTGTGATAAAAGAAAAATCTTTTAGAATACTAGTTTGGGGAACTTGTTAATCTGGTAATTGAGTGCCTGGTATCACCAATTCTATTTAGTCTTGTAATGGGGGTTTTAGCCAAAGCAGTGAGTCAGACAAAAAGGGAAAAAGTTAAAGGATTATATAAAAAGATAAACAAAGCTGTTACCATTTACAAAATTTAAAATATATATTTTATTGATTTTTATACAGAGAGAAAGGGAGAGAAATAGAGAGTTAGAAACATCGATGAGAGAGAGTCATCGATCAGCTGCCTCTTGCACACCCCTACTGGGGATATGCCCGCAACCAAGGTACATGCCCTTGACCGGAATCGAACCCGGGACCCTTCAGTCCCCAAGCCGACGCTCTATCCATTGAGCCAAACCGGTCCTGGCTGTTACCATTTACAAAATTTATGAAAATGTGATAGCAAATGTAAAAAATTCAAAAGAATCTACAAATAATTAAAGTAAGTTTAACAAGGCTAGTTGATAATATATATACATACATATACAAAATTGCCCTGGTCAGTGTGTTTCTCAGTGGTTAAATCATCCACCCGAGGATTGAAAGGTCACAGGTTCAATTCCCAGTAAGGGCATGTACCTGGGTTACAGGTTTCTCTCACATCTATATTTCTCTCTCTCTCCCTCTCTCTCTGTCCCCACTTTCCTCTCTCTGAAAATCAATGGAAAAAATATCCCAAAATAATTTACGTATCTATATATGAACAATAAACAATTATTATTTTATTATTTTTTAATATATTTTATTGATTTTGTACAGAGAGGAAGGGAGAGAGCCAGAGAGCCAGAAACATCGATGAGAGAGAGTCATCAATCAGCTGCCTCTTGCACACCCCCTACTGGGGATATGCCTGCAACCAAGGTACATGCCCTTGACCGGAATCGAACCCGGGACCCTTCAGTCCCCAAGCCGACGCTCTATCCATTGAGCCAAACCGGTCTCGGCTGAACAATAAACAATTAGATGATGAGTAATTTTTAAAGTTACTATCACTAATATGAAAAATACCAAATACAAAACTATAAATGTAACAAAATAGGTGTAAGACCTGTATGCAGCAATTTATAATTTAGGATGAGACACTGCAGACCTAACATAAATGGAGGGATATTATCATGTTCATAGAGTAAAAGTCTCAATATCAAGAGGATGTCAATTCTCTAAAGTGATTATAGATTCAGTACAATCCTAATCAAAATACCATCAGGATTTTTTGTGAATGTGTGGAACTAACAAACTGATTCTAAATTTTTTAAAAAATGTATTTTATTGGGTTTTTACAGAGAGGAGGAGAGAGGGACAGAGAGCTAGAAATGTCGATGAGAGAGAAACATCGACCAGCTACCTCTTGCACACCCCCCACCGGGGATGTACCCGCAACCAATGTACATGCCCTTGACCGGAATCGAACCTGGGACCTTTCAGTCCACAGACCGATGCTCTACCACTGAGCCAAACCAGTTTTGGCCTGAATCTAAAATTTACATGGAAATTTATTTAGAAGCCAATAATAGCTTCTAGAAGATGAATAAGGTGAAAAGACTTGCTTTACCAGATACCAGGACATAATTGCAAAGCCTAATAATTAAGGTAGTATAGTATTGACACAAGATAGATAGATAAATTGACCACAAAATACATAGGCATAAACAAATTTACCAATATGTAGACAATTGATTTATGAGAATTTGCACTTATGAGCAGGAGAGAAAGGAAGCAGATTTCAATGTGCTGTGACAATTATCTATATGAAAAAATAAAACAAACCCCTGCCTTAAACCATATAAAAAAATCATCCCCCACTATATGATATATTAAATGTAAAAGGCAGCCCAGCCAGCGTAGCTCAGTGGTTGAGCATCAACCTAAGAACCAGGAGGCCACAGTTCAATTCCTAGTCAGGGCATATGCCTAGGTTTTGGGCTCCATCCCCGGGGGGTGGGAGGTGTTCAGGAGGGCAGCCAGTCAATAATTCTCTCTTATCGTTGATGTTTCTCTCTTTCTCCCTTCCTCTCTGAAATAAAAACAAAACAAACAAATAAATAAAAACAAAACAAATAAACAAACATAAAAGGCATAGTCAAAGCCTTTTAGAAGACAATATAGAAAAATATATACATGGCCGGGACCAGTTTGGCTCAGTGGATAGAGCGTCAGCCTGCGGACTGAAAGGTCCTGGGTTCGATTCCGGACAAGGGCATGTACCTTGGTTGTGGGTACATCCCCAGTGGGGGTGTGCAAGAGGCAGCTGATTGATGATTCTCTCTCATCGATGTTTCTAACTCTCTATCCCTCTCTCTTCCTCTCTGTGAAAAATCAATAAAATATATTTAAAAAAATTATATATATATATATATATATATATATATATATATGAATTCAGGATAAGGAAATATTTCATAAGAAATATTCAAGTACACTAACC